ATGACAATGATACCTCCTCATTACATTGCACACTGGATGTTTCTTAGCTTCTTTCCAAGTTTTTCAGCAATTTTCCAGGTTTCTGCCCCATGCATTGGAGCTGGCAAAAAACAATGGGTGTAAACTTTCCGCTTCAGTGACAGTGTCAAGGCGCTGGTCATGAGCTGAGAATGCCTACTGTGCATGCATCCTTCCATTGTTATTCTTTGGTGAACTTCCTCTACAGTGCTAGGCTTTTCTGTAGCTTTTGGCACAGATATATATTGTCTTATGCTAGTTCAAGGGTCATGTTGTCGATCACCCACTGTCACTCATATTAATCCTTTTCGCTACCTGCATCCACATTAGTGCACATAACTGTTTAGGCAAACGACACATAAACTGCTTGTCATTGACAACTCACACCTTTCTTGCTCAAAATGTCTTTTATCCATAGTCATGGAGTGAGCAGCAGATATCAACATTATCCTTGTACTAAAGAAACAGCTGGTGTGCAAAAAAAAAACAATGGTGGTCAGATCCCGCAGCTGCTCAGGCCAAATTGCTGATATTTTGTAATTACTATTTGAAATTTTTTTTTGCATACAAAGCAGTGTAAAGTAAACTTATGCTATTCGTTTTTGAGAATCATTTGAACCATCTTTGAAGTACTCAAAGACAATTCATATTTATCGGTGGGTGTTTTTCAAGTTTAAAACTGCATGCCACCATCATTGCACACCCATTTTCACCCTTGTGGAACCATGTAAAATACAATACTTTGCAAGCAACATCTCATTTTCTTGCTTAATAGTGAGGATGATCCAGTAGTGAGAATGATCAATTTGTTACATTGCATGCCACATTTGACCTTGACCCTTTAATGCCTGAATTATGAAACTGCCGAACAAATTAAAAAATGTTTTTATTTGCAGCTTTAAAGTGTAACCTTTAAATGAATCCACAGTTAAATTATTTAAAAGGCATCTTAAATGCATAGTTTTATGTACGTTGCGAATTTTCCACATACCACAGAAGCAAGGACCTAGCCACAAAAAGCGTATGTTAGAACTATGTAACATGTCATGTGCCATCTCTAAACACACCAAATAAAATTATTGAAGACAGAACACACGTCACGCAGGCAAGAAAAAACAAAGCAGTCAGAGTTGTTGCACACGCTTCGCGCTCACCGCCATCAGCTACAAAACAATTGGTTCTAGCATAAAATACCTTAAAGAAGATAGCGCTAGATTTTTGATGTCACAAGCTACATTCCCCAGAAGTACTTGACAGCCAGAATTAAAGGCTTGACAACCGAAATTAAAAGCATTTCGTGACTTGTTTGCTTCAAGTTTTTCAGTTGGTTGCGAATTCGTGGCACCCGACAGTAAAGGGTCAATTATGGGTATTTTTGGGACTTTTCTTTCTTTGATGTAAACACAATGGTTCATTAAATGCAGGGAGTAGTTTGTTTGCTTTGCAATGAATTTACGAAATTGACGGAAAGAACAAGATGTGTGGTTTGCCTGCACTGTCCCTGCGACTTGTCAGTCACTTGTGTTTGCTAGGGACAAATCTTCCCTCAGAGCATGAACAGTTCAAGCCGAGAGAGCTGGCAAGGGGAGAAAACACGTGTCCACCTGAACACCACCCTTACTGGGCGAATGGAAAGGCAAAGCACCCTTGTCTGCTTATACATCGCACCAAGAGCATTCTGCATTATCCTGACTTTCCACAAAAACTGGTTTCAAGCACTCTTAGAACTGCTATTGCAATAAGAACTTCCCCATACTGCTGAGTAAAAAATGCGACTTAGTTTTCATAGCAACACCAATGCACTACAAGCACCTCAATGGCACCATCCAGTGATGCCACCAGTCTTCCAATTTGGAGCAATTTTAGGAGCAGCAAAATTTTCATTTTTGAGCACTTTGGAGCAACAAAATTTTTCATTTGGAGCACTTTAGAGCAGTAAAATTTTTTACTTTGTAGAAATCTGGAGCAGCAAAATTTTCCCTTTTGGAGCAATCTGGAGCAGCTAACTTCAAATCCTGGAGGAGAAGCACGTTACATTTACATTCAAGGACAAGAAAAATTATTCTGAGGCTCTTGTGAAGAGCTAGAAATATTTGGATTCACTGCAAATTTCATGGAGCCAATCATCTTAGAAGCCCTCCCTATTTCAATTGATGATGCAAAAATAATGACATAATACTGTGGAACATTCTGAAAAAACTTGTTCGGTGATTATTTCCGTAGCAAATAAACAGAATTCTGGTTCAGTAAAACTGTTCTTCATGAAATAACAATATAAATATACCTAAGTGGTTATCAGCAGATATGGTAGACAAACACTGTGACATAACACGCTAGAGGCTCTAACAGTCAAAAGTGCATTTCCCTAAGATGACTTCAAGGATAAAAAAAAAGGTTTGTTTCCTTCATGACTGATTAGACTGCTGGGCGTAATATGACGTCGTTCAGCTAGTCTCAGAAAGCCAACCTCCTCCAGCACTCATCTCTGTGCTGAAACTACCCAATTTAACAAACTTCATTTTCTTTTTGCAGCAATATTATATGTAACTAGGACATTCTGTCTATACTCCAAAAACCCCTTATTGTGTTCTCTAGAAAGCAGTTCCTTGAAAAAAATTACACAGGACAACTTATGCACACCAATGTGAAGGCAAGATCTATTTTGTTTTTAATGGGACAGCAATTATTTGGACATTCTCGACTGGTTTTTGCCATTGCCAGGGGTGTAGCCAAAAAAATGTTGAAAAATTGGAGGGGTTGCACATTGATCTGAAGGGGGGCGCAAGCAAAAAGGTCATTTTGCACTTTATATGCTATAGTAAAAAAAATTCGGAGGTGGGGAGGGGGGGACACATTCCCAATGTGCCCCCCCCCCCCCCGCCCTGGCTACGCCACTGGCCATCATGTTTTGCGTAATGTACCAATCGATAACATGCCCCAGCGCATCGTATTTTACACGCAGGCAAAAATGTGCGAGCGGAAGCGACAAACGCGCTAATGCAGAGGTTAGAAGAGCAGACCGATCTCCTTTGCACAGAGGGCAGATGTGATAACATCACCCCACGTTCCAGGCCTCCCATCGATTGTTACTCAAGCAGACAGGAACGCACCGCCCGTGTCCAAGGCACAGGAAGGATCGAGCTAAGAACGCGAGGGGAGGAGGGGGTTACGAGCTTTGACTTTAAGGGTGTGATCACTGGCGCACGCTTATTACGACTGGTATTCTCTTCTACCTTGTACTCTCAACGCGAACAGGATGTGCAAAAAGTGCTTCGCTTTCAAGAGCGGCCATATAAAGGTATGCACTGAGCCTTGATCGCAAGGTGGCCATACCATCATTGCGCCATTTCGGAGGACCATTCGTACATGCGGTTCATGCTGCATAGCTAGAATCACACTGGTCTAGAGCAGCAGAGCACGTGCCTGTCGACACTGTTGTTGGTCACAGCTTCCATCTCACGTTAGCTACAAGCTACCATTGATGCTTACATTACAGCACAAGGGTCTAACACGCAGTACGACCATGTTTAGTAGCATTACGGCATCTCTCTACATATTATTGAAGAAAACGCCAACTGGCGCAGCCGGCTAGGCGTTCTAAGCAAATCTGATTCTATATGTACATGCATCAACATGCAAGAGATGTTCCGGGGGTCTCTAGTCACCCAAGTCGCAGATATCAAACACCGTGAGTGCAGCAAGTTTTTGCAAAAGCACAGACCTTAGAAATTGCAACCCTGCCACTAGTGCTTCTCACGGATGATGTCAAGTTTTATTATTTAGTATAACAATACAATTTATTGGTATCGCACTCATTGCTAAGAGCGTAAGTGAAACTAGGAAATTGTATCTTTTACATCTTATATTGCCGATATCACGTAACTCAAAAGAACGCTGGCTAAAGGATCAATAATCACTCTAGATGCTGAAGCTTTCGTGCTGTCAGTTATCTAAACACGAAGGAGATCTCATGATGGTTTTTTTTTTTTTTTTTTTTTTTTTTTCGTCGGCTATTGACCCTGGAAAGCCAGAGGCGTACGTGTAACAAGGCGCGGCCACTTCACAGACCTTCTGAGGTACCAGAGCCACCAGTGATGGCCTCTCTATAGTTGCGTGTATTAAAACCGAACTGCAGCTGCTTCGACCAGGACGCATGCTTTTATACATGAGATGATATTTAAAAGGAAGCACATGAGAGTTTTAAATTTGGACCCTAGCAACCTCAAGTTCCAAAGGGCAGGGTCTTTTAGGGGGTTTTTAGCACCACATCAATTATAAACGCGGATGTACGTGTTGGTGGAAGGAATTACGAAACAGCTCTTCTATATAATGATCCATAGATAAAGTATATTAGAGGAAAAGTGTCAACGCTTTCCCAACATTTACTTGTTCTTCTGCGGACGCGAAGCACGAAATTAGATCACGATGTCCAGACAAAGACTAACAAACATTCTGGCGGTACGCGTGCAGTTCTTAGAGAAAACTGCTTTATTACATGCCGTGCAACTCTTCAAATGAGCTATCAGCAGCATTCCTAGAACAGACGACGTCCACATATGCATCGCCGCCACAACTTCACGCTATCAATTGAACAGGAGCCCCTGCGGAGAGCACGTTTCACCGTTAAGCAGACTTGCACAACAGAGTTGCGTCGGCACCAAACATATCTTTGTGAATTTTAGGACGCACGAGCGACCGCAGTTTATTCAGCGTGATAAAATAGGCACGTGATTGTGACTTTGGTGGCCCGGAGAACAAGGTGCACATGTATTGACACGCCGTTGTGGCTATTGCTAGTGATAGACCACCCCAAATCCAACTTTGACACATTTTGGCACAATTTCCGTTGATATTATCACTATGGCACAGTAAATCTCATTTGGCGCACTTTGGCGCAGTTGGTGCAAGAATGGGATCACTGCACACTGCACAAATATTAAATAACTACATGGCAATCACCCACTGCGAAGTATGCAACTTACCAACAATGCACAGAGCTGTGTCCGACCTTTTTGTGCTGCCTCGTGCAGTGGTGTAAAGCCCCACCGGTCAGTGGCATTCACAACCGTATTGTACTTAATTAACAAGGCTGCTATGTCCAAATGCTAAAGAGGGGAGGTAAAAAAGAAGGCTCAGATGAGTTTCAACACAAACAAATTCCATGTCCACAATGTAACAATAAAGGAAATAACAAAAAGCACTTATTAGAAGCAGTGGTGAGAGTTCTAAGCAATGTGGAAAATGTGGTGCACTTTCACTTGACTTTTCAACTGGCTATCCAACAAAGCACAAATATTTCACCTTGCCCTTTGCATTCTACTTGGCAGGCAGTATTAGGGCTAAATGACAAATTATGTCACTAATCCATCCTCACATTAAAGGGACACCATAAAGAAAAAAAAGCTATTTTAGTCATAGTAGTAAACCATGATTCCTGAATAACAAATGTGCAACCTTTGTTACGAGATGATAGCTATCATTGCAGTCATCTCCCACCAAGAATGATGCTTTTAATACTGGATATTATTCAACAAAAGCCTATTAATTAAAATTTTATTATGTTCAGTGTAGTAGTGCAGTTTATAATTGTGAGCAACCCTAATCAAATATGTAAGCTCATCAAACTTAACGTAGCAATGCCCTTACAAAAAAAACTCCATTAGTAGAAAATTTGTCTCTTCCAAGCACTTTTGCTAGTAATTTATACTGTACTTTACAAGAGTCAGGAGAGTTTCTATAGGGTTTGACAATGCAGAGAGATCTCTGTTATCACACAACCGAAACAAACACCATCTTTTTTCTCACCAAGCGAGATCCCCTGCAAGGTACTATGTTGGTTTCATAATGGCATAAAAGTAGCACGAGAAGACGAAGACAAGAAAGCAAACACCACTAGCACTTGTGGTCTTCAAGTTGTTGTATTCGTCTCCTTGCGCTACTTTTACACCATTATGAATCAGTGCCAACTTGCTCGCCAGTCCGTTTTGCTTCATTCACATTATGTAGGTTTATTGAAATAACCAGGTAAAATATGCATGTAGATTAATCCTTAGTAGCAGAAGTGCCATTTCAGCACGTGATACTAAAATGTCAATGTCACTAGTGAGGTGATAACACTTGAAGCAAAATGTCACTGGCATGCAAAGCAGATAAAGCGGTCCAAGTAAAAGAGAGCTCTCACATAGAATGCTGTAATATCTTAAAAAGTGTTTCAGGGGTCCTTTAAATTCAATAAACATACGTGATCTCACAAATAATAAACAGTATCAAAAGTGTGTCATTTAAAATCTTGCAAGATCTAATATTCAATTAATTTCCCAAATAATTTAAATAGTTCAATGTAGATGTTAACACAGCCACTTCAAGGCAGGCCTTCCTACCAGCCTCACCGGACTAACTATGAATGAAAGGTATCTTGAAGAGCCAATCGGTACAGGGGGCAAAAGTTTCAAAGCCACTATCCCATGTATTCCTATGGCAGCGTGGTCTGGGAACTTTTGACCCCCCTCCCCCCTTGACATGTTACTTTGAGAGGAACAGTGCAGAGATGGAACGGGAGGAAAAAAAACGAGCACTGACAAACAACTGTCCTAATGTAATTTTCCAAATGAAATAAAGCACGAAATCTACAACTGACAAGACTGTGTTAGTGAGCCTTCAATTGCTCCCCTTGACTGTGTACTTGTCGGGCTAAATGATGTCTTGACAAGAAGCGGACACACACATCATTTCCCTGTTTCAATCAACCAAAACTAAGATGTCCACCAGCGCTTGTGTCCTTTCTTTCTGCCAGGTCTGCACACTGCTTCCACGGAAGAATCTCAGCACACTTTATTCAAAACCTACAACTACCCAAGATCACCCATTTCTTAGCCATGCTTGTTCATTCAACCACACAAAGCTAGCTGGGCACATACCCCATATGATGATGCATTATGAAGTGGGATGAGGCCACCCTTGTCTTGTGCATTGACATCTGCACCATTTTCAAGCAGCAGCTCGGCAACTTCTAGGTTGTTGTATCCAGCTGCAGGAACAAAACACACATCTATAAAACCGCTAGGCGAGTATTAAACGACACCTTGAATGTTACATTCACCATCTACTCATGTATGTAAGACCTGCACTTCCTTTGACTTTAGTGTTGAGTGTGGTCCTTCTAAGAGGCAGTTACAGAGGGTGTTTCAGCGAACTTTCAGACATTCTTGAAGATAAGCTCTTCAAGAAAAAAAAAAAGAAAAACTTTTCAGAAAAAACCTGTTATCAGTGGCAGATTGCAGGAAGTATCAAGGGCATTCTAATTAGTTAGTTGGTTAATTTTTTTATTCACTACTTAGCAAAGTTTGGTGGTTATTGTTTGCAGCTTCAGAGAATGCTATGTTATATCAGTTAAAAAAAAAGAAAAAGCTACTGACATGCCGCGCAAAGAGAATTTACGTTTTTTTCCGCTCAGAGACTAAGCTGTGCATTAGGAGTCGTGCAAGACTTGAACAAGCACAACGTCCACTGGCGACTTATTACAACTGCAGCGGCAAACTTTGTGCCATTTTCCTTAGCTAGAAAACCTTAAAACTCAGCATGGGAATGTTTTTATAACTCGCCGGGCGGAAAGCAGAGGCTAGCTATCAACAGCAATGCAGCTATTGATTTTAATATGCTGTTGGTCACTGGCCTGGCACTCAGCTGGTGCCGATACCCCTAGAAGCAATCCATTACTTTCAATTCACATTATCCTAGCTTCATGAGAAATTAATAATACATTAATTGCTGGGGTTTCATGTGTATAAACCATGATATGATAGTGAGGAAACCCATAGTGGAGGGCTCCGTAAATTTGGACTACCCGGTGTTCTTTAACGTGCACCTAAAGTATGTGGGCCTTTAGCATTCAGCCTCTATGAAAATGCAGCCACGAAGGCAAGAATTCGATCCCAAAACCTTTGAGTCGCCAGCCGAGCGCCATAACGACCTTGGTAGGTTCATGAAAAAAAAAAAACCACGCTTCTGTGACAGTGAAGAGTTTTGTTTAACAATGCTGGTATCATGACATGCCACTCTAAAAAGTCATTCTTACATGTTATCAGCTAGACCGTTGAAGTAAATGAGGGATCCATAACTAACAACTATTTCGCATTGTAGTGCAACGCTGTTTCTTATCAGCAGCAGTGTGGGCCAAGGATCTGAAAATCTTGACTTCATACCATGTTTAGCAATTTTGAGTCAAGCAACAATCATCAATGAATAAAAAATGTTTATTTCAATGTTCCATTTGGTTGCAAGCCTATAAGAGATTCTCCAAAAGCAATGCTTGATTGATTGATTGATATGTGGGGTTTAACATCCCAAAACCACCACATGATTATGAGAGACGCCCTAGTGGAGGGCTCCGGAAATTTTGACCAGCTGGGGTTCTCAACGTCACCCAAATCTGAACACACGGACCTACAACATTTTTGCTTCCATCGAAAATAAAGCTGCCACAACCGGGATTCAATCCCACAACCTGTGAGTCAGCAGCCAAGTACCTTAGCCACTAAACACCGAGGCAGAGCAAGTAATATTACTTGAAACAACACAAAATTTTCACGTGTTCCAATTTCTTTCCATTTATTGCAATGCCCAAAGAAAGGCATTCTTTCATGGAAATGGCATTAGATGAAAACTTATGTCTTGTCGAGAGACATTCTCACACGTAGCTTAATATCCTTGGAGGTGGCTGGTTCCGACTTGAAAACTTTCTTTTTAGCATATCACCTGAGAAAAAAGTCCAAGGGTGACAAATCAACGGACCTAGGCGGCTATGATTTGATTCCATTGGACCCAATCCATTGATTGGAAAGAACTTGTCAAATTTACCATGGTGTCTACCAAGTTCACATTTCGAAATTCCCTAGTTTTCCAGGTTAGCAAGAAATCTGTCATCCAGCAGTAGATCCGACAAGGTAATAAGCCAGATGTTATTTTACTTCAAGAAACGCATGGCCTCGCCACACTACCAGAATACCAGGCAGTAAGTCCCGAGCGTGAAGAGGGAAATAAAGCTCTCACTACACTAGTAAGGAGAGAGATTACGGTCAGAATCCATAATCTAGAAGGTGGATACAACCATATAATGACAAAACTTCTATCTAGGAAAACAAAAGGGAGCAGCACATTTATTCTTAACGTATATAGCAGTCCATCAAATCACAGACAGCAATTTCACTCTCTATTTAGGCAGGCCGTGATATTAGCTGGCAGCGCCCCGCTCATCATAGCAGGGGAGCATACAAGATGAACAGCTTACTCTGATAACAGACCAGCATGCACACACACGCATAGGTACAAGCACCCAGCGAGACACAACACCGGATCTTTCAATAACGAAGAATGCCCCAGGGGCTATATGGCACAACACATTCGATGATTTAGGAAGTGACCATCGCATACTCGAAACACACGTACCATTCACCGATAGCGGCAGGATTACGACCATGTGTAACACGAGACGTCTAGTTGACTGGGATAAATTTCGGGAGATCAGAAAAACCATTACCGAAGATCCTGACGATATCCAGCAATGATACGAGAGCATAATAGACACCGTCAGGAAAGCCACACAGGAAGTAGAAACAGATATCCCAGTTGAGCGCATCGATAACAGATTAATGCACCTGTGGCGAACTAAAGAAGCGCTACAACACAAATGGCAGAGGCAAAGGCACAACAGAACAATCAGGAAAAAGATAGCACAGCTCAACAAAGGCATTGAAAGTCACTGCAAGCAGCTTTGTGAGCAACAATGGGTGGAGATATGTAAGGACATGGGCACCCATATTGGAACATCACAAGCGTGGAAGTTGCTAAGGTTTCTTTCAGATCCCACCAATACTAAAACTGAACAGAGACACACTATCCGTCATCTCACACGCGAATACGAAGGAAACGAGGAACAGCTAATGACAGATCTACAAAACATCTACATGCCCAAATCGCCGCCACTGCAACATAAAAACTATACAGACGAAGCCAACCACAACATGGACAAAAACTTTGAGGTAGCAGAGGTTAGAGCGGTGCTCCACAAATTAAATGTAAAATCAGCACCGGGACCCAATGGAGTCACCAACCGAGCATTATGTAACCTGGACAATGAATCCATAGAATTTTTAACTGGATATATAAACAAATGTTGGACAGAAGGGGCAATACCCGACGCATGGAAAGAGGCTAGAACAATCCTTATACCAAAACCTGGAAAGCCAATCAACAGAGCAAAGCTCCGACCCATTTCATTAACGTCATGCGCAGCAAAAGTAATGGAACATGCATTTCTAAATAGAGCCAACAATTATATTGAGGATGGTGAATACTACCCACACACGATGATAGGCTTCTGTCGTCACCTAGCCACACAAGACGCCATGCTACAAATGAAACACCAAATCATAGACTACCCCACAAGATCCACACGAGCCATACTCGGTCTGGATCTCAAGAAAGCATTTGACAATGCAGCTCACGAAACAATTCTCAGTCACATATCGAGCTTAAACATGGGTGAGCGGGCCTATAGTTACGTCAAAAACTTCTTGACCAACAGGAAAACAAGGCACAGCTTAGGAAGCCTTACATCTGATCTCCAAGAATTGGGCTGCAGAGACACTCCGCAGGGCTCCATAATATCGCCAATGCTCTTTAATCTAATCATGATTGGACTACCAAAAGAGTTAAATAAAATCCCGGGAATATATCGCTCTATCTACGCAGATGACATCGCAATATGGGTGAGTGATGGCAGCGACGGCTACATAGAACAGAGACTCCAAGAAGCAATAGGAACAGTTGAGCGATACTTGGAAGGCACAGGACTCACATGCTCGCCGGAGAAATCAGACCTTCTTCTCTACAGGCCAGCAATCAGAGGCAGACCACCCAAGTCAGAGGAAAACAAGCGGCAATATGAGGAAATTGGGATTCATACACAGGAGGGCACAGCTATACCGACAGTTCCAAAAATACGGGTACTGGCATTAGTCATCGAGGCTAACGATGCCAACGGCGAGACTATACGCAGACTAAACGCCTAAGTCACGAATGCAATGAGACTGATTCGCAGGGTCACGAATGAACACCGAGGTATGAAAGAAGCCCACGTAATTCGTCTAATCCAGGTCTTCGTCATAAGTCACATAACCTATGTAGCAGAATACCACAACTGGCAAAAAGCTGAAACTAACAAAATAAGTGCACTCATCCGGAAGGTCTACAAACAAGCGATAGGAATACCTGAGTATGCTAGCACAGACCTTTTTCTTCAGCTAGGACTACACAATATGCTTGAAGAGATTATAGAAGCTCAGCGGATATACCAGCTTGAAAGGCTCACTAAAACAAAAACGGGAAGAAATATAATGAGTAGATTAGGAATCGTGTACCATGCACAACATGGTGTCAAACATGACATCCCTAATACAATCAGTGCTAAGATCATCTCTAACCCGATACCGAAAAACATGAACCCCATTATCAACACAGACCGCAGAAAACACCGAGCAAAAGCACTGCTCAAAGCACACGGCACGAACAGTAACTCTCTTTTTGTAGATGCTAGCCCATACCTTGAACGAAAAGCTCACACTGATGTCGTGATTGACACGTCCTGCATTTGTATTAATGCGTGCTCTGTCATAACAAACAATATAGAGGAGGCCGAGGAGATAGCCATAGCCTTGGCTATCACCTCCAACAAACACTCATTCATACTGAGCGATTCGCAAATAGCAATCAGAAATTTTACGCAAGGACGGATTTCACAGCAAGCCCTCAGAATCCTCTTTGATAACCAAGAACTACACAAAGTTGATGAACCCAAATACCTCGTATGGTTCCCGGCGCACACAGAAACTGATACACCCAATCCTAACGAGCTGGCTCATGAGTTGTCGCGAGAATTATCCCGCCGCGCAACCTGACCCCACCACTCGGTGATCATCTCTGGCGCCGCCGACGTACCACACAAAAACCGATTTACAAGATACACAGAAT